ATCTATCTATCTATCTATCTATCTATCTATCTATCTATCTATCTATCTATCTATCTATCCATCTATCTATCTATCCATCTATCTATCTTTCCATCAACCTATCTATCTAGAATCTACTTTTGTTTTTTTGCCTGTTTGTTTGTTTGTTGTTCTTTGGAGGTGTTTGTTTGTTTGTGGGGTTTGAGGGGGGGGGTATTTTCTTTTGCCTTTACTTTTGTTTTGTTTTTTATGTTTTTGTGTCTTGTTTTGGGGTTTGTTTTGTTAGGTTTTTAGGGGGTGGGGTAGAGGTATGGGAGATAGTGGGTGGTTTGTTTGTTGATTCCGTATGGGGGGGGGGGGTTGTTTACTTTGTTTTGTTTTGAGTGTGTTTTTTTTTTTCTCAGCTAGAAAGGAATCACAAGTTTGTTAGTTCCATGTTTAATGTTGGGGTGAGTTTTAATGGGTTTGTTTCTCACAGGTGCGTGTGATCGACCAGAAGCGCTACAAGAGAGTTTACGAGGACATCATGAAAAAACTAGACAGACTGGAGAACGACTACCTGCCACAGATCAAGCTGGACAAGACGGAGGTCAGTCACATTTACTTGTGTTTTGCATCTCATCATAACTGATTTGCTACCTGCTCAAGTATTCTGGGTCAATTTCCCAGGCTCTGTTTCTTTAGGTCCCTCCCTCTGTTTTATAAACAGAACTATTTTACTAAGTCACTCCTGGAAAAGCACTTGAGGTAAAATATAGGGCAACTGGTAATTGCGTGGGCTGCAAATTTTCTTTCTGGTTTTTCTTTGGAAACCGTTTTAAAAGTTCCTAAGTTTTCACTCTTTTATGCTGTGTTATATCTATGAAGATGGTTTAAAGATGATGTGGAACATGATTCCAAATTTTGTTTTATGTTATTTTTGTTGGTAGTTGGAGGATGCTCCGATATGGATTGCTCCTTCTTTCCTATCAAACATTCTATCATTTATATCTCTCCTTTTCTTTGTATGTTACTCTCTAATAGTAACACCTCAAGTCTTTGGTACTCACATGACCACGGGGGCTCTCGTGGCCTAGAGGTTAAGGTGTTGGCCTCTCATTCAAAAAGTCCTGGGTTCGAATCCGGGTAGCGACCGAAAAATTTTCTTCTCTAAATTTGTCTCCTTTCACCTCATTTCCTGCCCTCTAGCAATTTTCTGTCGTCCGCTTTCATCTCCTCTTTCTGCCCCCACCCCCTCACCTCCTTTGCCCCTTCTTCTGGGCTTCTGATTCTTTCTACTGCTACGCCTTCGCTTCTTCTTACTGCTGTCTTTCAGCCACACCCCTGATCTTCTGGTAGGAAAGATCTACACCTAGCCTTCTCGGACAAGGGCGAAAAATCTCGGAGGGCCCGTGTGCAAGTTACGCACGTTAAAGATCCCTTGGTGGTCTAAAATCTATAAGAGTAGGCTTCGGCCGCCACCCGGGCAAAATTCAAAATTTCCTACCAATTGAAAATATTAGGTGTGTCCCGTGCGCTCATATGACCTTATACAGTTGCGAGCACTTTAAAACACTTTACAAAAACAAAACAAAAACTCTCATAACCTAATTGCGTTGCAAGTGCCATAAAACTTGCACTAAAAATAAAACCTGTGTTATATTTCCTGCTTGTTCTTCTCCAGCTGGTGTTTGAGAATGTGAAGTTCATCGAGCCTCAGACTCAGGTTGTGACCATCGCCAACATTGGACAGGTACGGAACAACATGGAGCTGGTAGATAAGGAATAGTAAATAGCATTTTGTCTGCTCAGTGTAAAACTACATCATACATGACTTTTCAAACTGGCATAAAGATGAGTGGAGTCTTACACAAAGCAATCGATTTATATAGTGCATATCATCCAGACTCAACAGCAAGCTCTATGCCTTTTACAATCTGTATTATTACCCCAGCAGACCATAGAACACTCCGTAACATTCTTGGCAACCAAAGAAGCATACAATAGAGGTAATTTGACCAGTTTGTATGAGTGTTGGTTTATGACTCACGTTTTCTTGTGGGTGGAAGGTTCTCTTTTTCAACTGTCAAGGAACAGTCTCTGTTGTTTGTTGACAGAATCAGTTTTTTTCTAGGTTCTACTCCTTCTTTTCTTTGCATGTTACTCTGTAGTAACACCTATAATAATTAACTCTCGTTTGACCTAATTGTGTTGCAAGAGCCGTGGAATTCTTACTAAAACTAAAGCTCTTTAGTAATACCTACAGTCTTCAGCACTTATATGACCTAGTTGTGTTGCACCATAATTCTCCTACTTAAACTGAAACTTAGAGTTTATTTGTGTTTACCCACTAGGTGCCAGTTGAGTTTGAATTCATCAACAAACTGGACGACCAGTCGTACTGCCGCCCCTGGCTCAAAGCCACGCCCCACAAATCTATCATCCTTGCAGGTGAGTTCTCTTGCAAGGGGAAGAATGTGTCATGATGTGGTAGAATCAGGTCCTTGCCAATTTTTGGGCATACAGCCTGATTTTACTGTGAGGCCACACATATGTGGGATGTGCTGCCAAAATGAGTTACTTCTCATATTTAACCCTGTGGAAAAAGATATTTTGAGTAGATATTCTTGAGTTTTTAAAATTTATTAGTTTAAATTAATAAGATATATTAAACTTGCAAAAAATGGCTTCAGTTGAAAATCTACAAATTTACTCCTTTGTTAATTTTCTGCCGATATCTCCATTTATGGATTGTGAGCTGTAACTCATTTTGGCAGCATGTCCCACATTTGTAGATGTTTTAGTCCCCGTCCATACAATTTAGGTCATTTTGGAGACAGGCTGCTTGGACCCTGCCTGTGGCAGCCAACTTGGGCTGAGGGGGATACATCGTCCCAGGAGAAGATGGAGATACTTGATAAAAACTTATTAAATATTTCCATCTTTCTACTCTCCAATATTATATCCCACACAGCCTTCATTTTGCATAAAGGGCAGACACAAAGCAACCCACTTCTTAAATGATGTAAGATGTGTTGACTGGGGGAGGGGGTTATAAAATTTGCGATCAATTGCCCAGGAGTATTCTGTGGGGTACAATCTCCTGAATATCTAAACTGTTTCTATAGACACAAAAGTTTTGTGATCTTTTCCCAAGATGGATGCTGTGAGGTCCAATCTCCTAATTTATCTAAACTGCATTCAAAGAGGTTTTAAAGTTATTCTATCATTTCCCCAGGCGCGTGCTGTGAGGTCCAGGTGGAGGTGTATGTGGAGAAGAACTCTGCGGCGCGACTCAACTGTGGGGAGGAGAACCTGGAGGACATCTTGGTGCTGCACCTCACGGGGGGAAAGGACTCTTTTGTATCCTTGCTTGTTGAGTTGTTCTTATTTTGTTTGTTTTTTAGTTCATTTATTTATTTTGTCCATCTCCCCCCCCCCCCCACCCCCCCCCCTTTTTTTTTTTACGGTACCACATGTCATCATTGAGTTTTTAAAAATTAATGAAGTGTACATCATTGTCAGTTAAAGCACTCAAAATTTTCTTTCTCATATATGAGTCAGAACAAAAGATACAGCAAGGTTTGTTGCCATGAGTAAATCTTGACAATGTTAGAAGTAGATAATGTAGGAGATGTGAAGACCTTTCTGGTATTCACTGCTGTTGCGGGAGCTGCTGCTGTTGTTTATGCTATCTTTTCATTAATGATGCTGATGCTTCTACAACTGATCATGTTCACAACTTTCATGATGGTAATGATGATAACCATGATGATGATGGTAATGATAATTATGATAATAATAATAAATGAATTTATAGCTCCAGAATCCACAAAAAGTGCTCGGTGGCGCTTACAAAAAAAAACCCAACACACACACACACACACACACACACACACACACTCACACACACACACCACAAAAGCTCTAAAGCTCAGTACCACTATGAGATGCATAGATTTTTTTTTTTAAAAGCTGACAGATATTTCAGATATAGAGTTCCAGCATTATAAATATACTTTCCTGAAAAACAGTGTCTTCAACTTTGATTTAAATTGATCAATTGAAAGAGACATTTTAACATCTAAATCCAATTGTTCCAAAGTTTGGGGCACAGATGGAAAAGGCCCTTTCACCCAATTATATAACAAATTGTGTGTTTAACTTGGTTCACTGGATGACTTTCAGTTATTTTTTTGTACCCCTTCCCATTCACATAATCATCATAGTATATGACATTCCTTAGGCTCTCAATCCCGATTAGAAAACGCAGGCTCTGAACGCTTTACAAATACAGTAGCAACATATAAACAGAATATTTGTGTTCTGACTAAAAATCTAAATATGTCTCATTAATCTTAAAACAGACATGACTTTAGCTGATGTTTGAATTGATTCAGTTATGCTTTGGCTTTTGTGTTTAATAGGTCGAACAAAATGAGCAGCTTTTTAAATTGTTGATGTTGAATGTTCATGTAAGTTTAACGTTTTATTCCCTGTGTTGTAGCTTCAGTGTCAAATTTTCCTTCAAGGATTGAATAATCCTGCCTTATCCCCTTCCATGCCATTTTGTCATACAGTCAAAATTGTTCAAGACAACCACCCATTTGAGGGGAAAGTGGTTGTCTTAGACAGGTAGACATTCTTTGGTGTGTGTTGAGGAGCGCATGTGTGTGTATGCATTTACCATGCAGCAGCAAATTTCTCTTTGTGGAATTCACTATTTCATGTGTTTGTGTTTGTATTAGTCCATGTCCTTGACCCAAGTTTAGATTACTGTGAGCGGCAACTATCTCATCAGCTCGTTTGGCTCCTCCATCGAGGCCCTGGTACAGATGCACGGACCCATCCGAGAAGTGCCGGTGGCCTCTCTCATCGAAATAGTAAGTAATGATGAGCATAATAATATATCATCAGCACACTGTTAAAATGTACTAAGCCCCAAATTTTGAAAATTCTTTATTGCAGTTCTTAATCTGTGGTATCTGTTGCATGTACTCAAAAAATATTTCAAATAAATTCAAATTTTAAATGTTGAAAAAAGTAAAAAGAGATAAGATACAATTGTTGATTATAGAATTAAACGGTTTTTCTCTCTCTCCTGTAAAATGTTGCTTTTCAGGCTTAGTACATTTTAACAGCTTACCAATGACGATATGACACTTATATTATAGCACTCAGCCCCAATTAATGAACACAGAGTCTGAGCGCTTTACAAATGCAATAGCAACACATGAACAGTGCATTATGTTCTGAATAAACATCTATCTATATCTCATTAATCTTAAAACAGACGTGACGTAAGCTGATATCTATATTAATTAAAAAATGATGGCACAAAAATGTCTGGGGGGTTTTTCTCTGTGTGTCCAGGAACAGCCGGGCAGTCTTAGCCGGGTGGACATCACACAGGATGGAGGCAGACTCTATATGGTGCCAAAGGAAATCTGGAAACTTGTGGATTTCCTACACAAGTATGGTTTGGACAAGGTAAGCGTTTGTTGTTGGTTAATATGTGTATGAACTAAAATATTCAACTTGTGGTGAAGTTTCAAAGATTCTGACCTGAAGCATCTGTGTCTCAGGTGGCCTGGAGGAGAAGTAAGGATTAAGATGACTTTTGGCTTCTGCTTTGGCGGTTGAGACCAATTCGGGCAAAGAAGAATATGCCACATTTTCATTTCCACTTGACTTTTGGCTTCTGCTTTGACCGTTGAGACCAATTCGGGCAAAGAAGAAAATGCCACATTTTCATTTCCACTTGTGGAAGTGCACTGATTGTCGGCCTTTTGCTTGACTTCAGCGTTTCTTACTCGTGAAGCCTCATATGATTTGCTACTCTCCAACTGGGTCTTGTCATGAGGTATGCTCTCTCATGTCAAAGGATTGATGTTGGAAGTTCTTGAGAGACATTTTATAGGAGTCTTTATATCTTTTTTAAATGTAGGCCTACCAGCTTTATGCACCCCTGAATTCAGAGTACCTTCGTCTCAAAGAGTGTTGCAGTTTCTAACTATACTGTGCAGATTTTTTATAAGTTAAACCATCTTTGTTTATATGAGAGCTTTGTTGATTTTTTCCAATTGGAGCATGCTTCAGGCCCCAATGTGTCTTCACTTCCTCTGGGTTCACCAGTAACTGTCACCATAGCTGTGTTTGTCCGTTGATGCTCTAATAATAATAATAATAAATAGCATTTGTATAGCGCATATTCCCGCTCAACAGCAGGCTCTATGCGCTTTACACTATATTATTACCCCAGCAGACCATAGAACACTCCGAAAACATTCTCAGCTTCCCGGGAAGCATACAGTACAAGCAGCTGATTAAGCGCTCAAACACTAATAAACTGACAAGATCTTTCGCTGTCTATAGCCGGGTACCCATTCCCACCTGGGTGAAGTGAGGAAAATTCGTGTAAAGTGCCTTTACCAAGGACACAACGTCGGGTCCCTGACGAAATTTGAACCCACGACCTTACGGTTGTGAGTCCGAGAGCCTAACCACTAGGCCACCGACGCCACCTCTACTCCTTCCCTCAACTGACGTCTATCGTGTCAGGCCTCTGGGTTCACCAGTAACTGTCACCATAGCTGTGTTAGAGGTAACTAATGAAGCTGCTTCAATGTTTACAGTCGTCCGTACCACCCTCATCTCATCACACCCCCCCCCCCTCCCCTTACTTGTGTAAGATCATGCCTTGGATAGTTATGTGGCGTCGGTGGCCTAGTGGTTAGGCTCTCGGACTCGCAACCGTAAGGTCGTGGGTTCGAATCCCGTCAGGGGCCCAGCGTTGTGTCCTTGGGAAAGGCACTTTAAACAAATTTTCCTCACTTCACCCAGGTGGGAATGGGTACCCGGCTATAGACAGCGAAAGATCTTGTCTGTTTGTTTGTGTTTGAGCGCTTAATCGGCTGCTTGCACTGTATGCTTCTCGGGAAGCTGAGAATGTTTCGGAGTGTTCTATGGTCTGCTGGGGTAATAATATAGTGTAAAGCGCATAGAGCCTGCTGTTGAGCGGGGATATGCGCTATACAAATGCTATCTATTATTATTATTATTATTATTATTATTCTGTACACCACTGTTGGTGCCATTAGAGATAACTGATTTATATAGGCAGTGGGTACTTATTTTTAAGTCCTGTTTTTTAGCCCTACACCTCAGTCTCAGAGCAATACGTCCTTGTTTTTTTTGTCTTGCAGAAGGATCTGTTCCAGCAGCCAGGAAGGACCTCTGAGATCCAGCTTATCAGAGACTGCTTGGACACTGGCCTTCCGGAACAAATTTGTATCCTTGGATAGAAAAACTGCTGTGACAGTCTTGTGTGTTATGTGGAGAGGGGTGGGGGGATGTTTAATTTTAGAACCAACAAATATAAGGTGCACTGTTGGCTCAGTTATGATTAGAGTGTGGAAAATTGCCTTTTGGATGTTCTTGAACCTCTGTTTAAGTAGTTTTTAAAGCTCTCCAACTACTGATGAAACTATCTAAGATGGTCACCCATTGTTGAGGAGAAAAGTGGATATCTAAACAAGTGGGCATTTTACACTGTTATGATAATATTTTAAAAACAGCTAGGGGGAAATGGGAAGTGGCCGTTTGTACGGGTGATTGTCTTATACAGGCGGCTCTCATAGCAAGGTCACCTATACTTGGCTCTGTCTTATCGGAGACGGATGTTAAATTCGGAAGTCCTGTACCGGCTTTGAATAACCTGACAGTGTTGAAAGGGGTTAAACTTGTATAATTGCCAATCACAAACAAACAAAAAAAACCTTGTAGTATAAGAAGACAGAAAAAAAAAGTAATCAAAAAAGGAAACAGCAGCACAAAGGTTGACCTTGACTCGGGGGCTCCCAGCGGAGACGATGAGCGTCCACTCGGTGGCCGAGTCCTTCCTGCTGTTCCTGGAGTGTCTGGCTCAGCCTGTGCTGCCCTGTGAGGTGTACAGTCAGGCCCTGGCCTCTTCCAACAACCTGCTGCTCAGTAAACAGGTCAGTTTAGTTTTTAGTTTGAGTTTTATGGCACGTCTAACACAAATAGGTTTTATTAATGATGGAAGTTAGACGTGTTACAAGAGTGTTTGTGCGTGTGATTGTGTGTGTAGGTGTGTGTGTGTGTTTGCATGCATGTATATATGTGTGCATGTATGTGCGATTATTTTAGCAAGTAGTCTTTTTTTTTTTCAGTTATTATTCTTTGTACTAGGATTTATGGAAAGCGTTTAGAGTTGTGTGCATACGGGAGTAGGCGCTATACAATATCATTATCAATATCTTGTTACAATGGGGTAGAGTTGGAATGCTGTGTTATACAGAAATGAACAATCAAGCAGTTTTGTCAGACTTGTTTACTTGTGGATGGTTGGGGGGCACTCTCGTGCGGTTTGCCCCGTCTTTCCTGTCAAACATCTATCTTCCTTATCTCTCCTGTTTCTAATCCTTGAATGCTGACTCTTGTGTGCTTACAGCTCTAGGTACTTCATAAAGATCCAAGTACAAAGAAGAACAACTGTGAAAGAATTTAATATTTACTTTTTATTTGTGCTTATGATTAACGTTTGTCAGTAAAGTCCACACAGGAATGTGTTTTTAGAAATGAAAATAGCCGAACAGACGGGGAAATGTCAGTTTCTTTGATTTCACTATATTGATGAGCTCCTGATTTCACCACAATGCCATACATTTTTTATCTGTCGTCTTTCAGTTGGTATCAAGACTGCCCGACTGCCACAAGAATGTGTTCCTCTACGTGTGTGCCTTCCTGAGGGAACTGTTGCAGAATGGTGAGCAGAATGGCCTGGACATCAAGTTCCTCTGTAAGTTCTTCTAATCATCAATCAATCATCAATGCCTTTTTCTCCCTGTACCAGGATATAGGCCATGAACAAACATTTTCCACTTTCCCCTATCCTCAGTTACCCTCTTGATATTATTCCATATCTTCCCACTTTTCTGTACATCATTCTCTCTAACTCTTCTTCGGGTTCCTCGTGGCTTTCCCCTTGATCTCTTACCCTGGGGATTCCAATCCAACACTTTCTTTGTTATGCAGCTGCCTGGCTTTTTCTAATTGATTTACTGAATGCTGAAGAACTTTTAGTGCAGGGGGTTGGGATGTTTTGTCCAGATGTTGTTCGTTTGTGTCTGCAGGGTTTGTTATTGTTTCTTTCATCAAACTGTAAAAATAAATGCTTGAAATGTAATTATTGTGGGTTGTTGGGGGGTGCTCTTGAGAATAACATACAAAGAAAAGGAGAAGAGATCAGGACGATAGATGTTTGATAGGAATAAAGGAGCAAACCACACACCAAAGCGCCAACCAACCACCCACCAGTCTCCATGATAGAAGTGTAATTTCTATTATTTTGTTGTTGTTGTTGTACAGCTACTATATTTGGTGAGATCCTGCTTCGGCCAGCCCCGTCCACAAGCTTAGCCAGAAGTAGCGAGGCCTCTCTGAAGGAACGCAAGTCCAAGATACGAGAAGAAGAGGCCAAGAAAGCAGCGTTCATGTACCATTTCTTGAGCCAAGATATTGATGCCTAGTTTTACTGGTTGTGCAATTATCATTTTGTACATGTCACATCATCCTGATGGTCCAGTGTAAGATTCCATCATAAGCCACTTTTTGCGAAAATCACTTTTTTACATTTGATAGATTCCTGGATTGCCGGACAAATTGTGTCAAAAGACGAGCTCTCTAAGATTACTAGTTTTGAAGTTGCTATGCTACAAAGGCTTGAATTTCATGAACTGGATAATAAATCAATGAATCAGTCTTTTGTTTCTTGTGAACAATTTTCAAAATGGCTTATGGTGAAGTCTTACACAAAGCCAGCCGATCCGTGTTCTAGAAATTTGATATTTTCGTGAGTGTGTGAAATATGTGATAGATGATAGGAGATGATGCTCCCCATGGTATGCAGCTTTTGTTCTCGAGAAAAGTTTTTTTCAGAGTCTTAGTTGCTGAAGGGAGTGCATTATTATTTATTAGAAAATTAACTCTAATTAGACTAGTCTAATGTGTTGTTATATAAAGATAAATGTTTTGAACTGAGGGTGGCTGTATGATGCTATGTTTTGCACCCAAGATCATGTTTTTGCTCTTTTGTTTTTATGAAGACTCACAGAAAATCTTGAAGGAAAACCACAGCATACTCTACACAGCATTGTGTTTATTACAAAGTTCAAGCATTTTTTGTGTGAAGGACTTTTGTTTGAGGTTTTAGATTCTCATAAGTTGGGGTGAAAGTGTACAATCATTTTGGAGAATGTTTATTGAGAGCCTAGAAATAAAATATATTTCATGTAGTGTAGAAGAATTTCATTTCATTGTGTGAAAATTGTGTGAAAATTTGCCGCTGTTTTTGCCAGAGGCATGATTTGTTTTCTTCCATACATGTAGTACGACTTGTAAGCACTATGCAGTTACAGTTCTCAGTGCAGAAGGCTTGCAAAGATGTTTTCACTCCAGTGAAAGTTGTAACAGCCATGTCTGTTATCGTGACGTGTTTCCCAACGAAAAAAAAAAGAAGAAAAATGGCCAAGTTGTACGGGGAGAGCATTTTTTTTTCTCATCCATCAGCTCTTTAAATACATAGTGCTCATATATGTCCGGTCAGCAGCAGAGCAGAGGCAAAGCTGCAGCACATTTCAAACCATCGTACACAAATCTGAAACATGAGTTTGCATATTTTATAGTATGTATGTTATTGCATGCCTTTTAAAGTGTCAGATAAAGAAAAATAGAAAAATCTGTTTAAATAATGAAGTTATGCCCCAAAACAGTGCATCTTTGTGTGTGGTCGAATGAGCTGAATATACGTCCTCAGTAATTTAAACAGTTGAATAGAAAGCAAGGGTGCACACTTGTACTTTCTGGTGATATCTTTATCTGCTATGACGTAGCAGTATATGTTACAAATACTTGTGTCCTAGCTTCTTGGCAGCAAGTTGTGAGATATTTCAGAAATAAAAAATACCAATGTGTCAACAATAGAGTGAGGCGTGAAACTTTCTAAGGAATACTTTGTGTCTATTACCCACGTTTCTCTAGCTTCAAAGTATAGTGGAACTACTGGTCAGAAGTATACAGGTTCGACAGATTCTGTTTCACTTCAGAACAAAGTAAACCCTTACAGCACCAGGCTATTTTTAGCCCTCACTTCTCTCTAGCCTAGTCATAGGCTCCTCAGGCCCAGTAAGCACTGATTGTGTCTGCAATTTTTTGCAGGCTTTAAAAAAAATATCTGTTCTGCGTTTCTCTGAAGTTTTTAGAAAACAAGATGTAGAATATTTTTCTGAGACAGTTTGAAAGATTACAGTAAAAGTACAGGATTAGCTTTGAGGTTGCTGGGAAATATGCGTGACTGGTCCTAGGGGAAGGAAAACTCATAAGAGAAATAAAAGCATTTGGGGCTGTAAGGGTTAATCTTTTTTCTTTTTGTATTATCGATTACAATAGTAAATAGAGAAACCAGAAAGTGTCCCCTCAACAGCTAGATTAGGGAAGAATCGTTGAGTGTCCAGTTAATCAGCATAATATTTAATGGTCAATGAAAATCAGGGGAGGAGGAAGAGAGGAAGGCCGAGGTCCACCTCGGAATGAGTTCTGGAGGCAGATCTCGGGCATATTAAGGGGCACAGTTGGCTGGAGGGGGAGAAGGTGACCCAGAGCAGAGACTGGTGGAGAGTCTTTTTTGGTGGCCTATACCCAATACCAGGGTGAAAGAGGCAGATAATAAAGATGATGTAGATAAAAATGTTAGATTAGGAATTGGTGTTCCAGATGTTCAGTGTATTAATTTTTATAGGGCTGTGTTGGTAGATGCTTGAATATTCTGTGTGTGTGGGCATTTTTTATTTGTCTGTATAGACAGAAGTGCTGATTTTATTATACATCTGGAATCTGAAATTGTCCACAATTTGCCTGAGTTTTTCTTATATAAGATGTATTAGGTAGCAATATGATCAGTAAATTATAAGTCCCTTAGAAGAAGTTTCTATGGGGTCTAAAAAGTTCCGAAGTCTATTTTGTAGCCAGTTGGCACCTGTGTGTAGACAAAATGACTGAGCTGCAGGATGCCTCATGTTTGTCACTTGTAACGAGGACCTGCAGTCTATTAAAAAATTTGGGGGGGATTTTTTTGCCTCCTGTCCTGATTTGGTGCTGAATATTGATAAGTCATGAATATAATGTGGTAATGTAGTAGTTGCTGTTAGAGTTAGATTGTTCCAAATAACTAAAGAGATAATGTTTGGAAATAAATCATTTTTTTATTTGGACCTGAGCTCATTGATTTAAACCTCCAAGTGTCGGTAACAGATAGCTTGTAAGTCTGTGTTGTCAGGGAAAATTATGTTAGTATGATTTCCCCATATTATGTTGGAAAATACATGAGAACAGGCAAACCAAGAAGTAAAGGCCATAAACCTATACATTTTCAGAAAGCAGAATGTTAATAAGTTGAGCTCATTTATGAAAGAGTTAAAATGTTGGGCAACATACAAAAAATTGGATAAATGAACTGAAATATTGACTCAAATTATGGCCGATTAAATCGGCGGCGACAACGCAGAATGAAACTTTTGGCTGATTTAATCGTCCTTGGACACTTGGAGAGTTAACCCTATCCGTATGTCGTGTTTTACTATCGTATCCATACGATGTGGGGAACTCTGTGCCACCGCGTTCCAAAGCGGAAATTACTCTTTAATCCGATCCGTATGCTTTGCATAGCAGTCTGTCAAAATGATATTTTGAGAAATACTGAAAGTTTCAAAGAGGTCTTCGTACTAGAAGCATTCTAAAATGTGAAGAATACAACCCCGGGGGTACAAAATGCCCCCAGGTCGTACAGATAGGGTTAATCAACTGCTGCCCATGTGTGTTATATAATACTTGTGTTCATGAGTGAGAGTGTGAGTGTCAATGATTCAGTGCTCGTTGATATTTACATGTTATATGATGATGTGTCTGTATATATATATATATATATATGTTTTATTCTATCTGACTAATTTCTTGTAAGAAGCATTTGGTGTTGTGGTTCTGGGGCTGATGGAGTGGGCTGAGATATTTTGTGCAAAGTGTTTTTGTTATAGAGAGAAATAAATGAAACCAAAGGAAAAGTAGACTAATAGTTTATAATACAACTAATAATACAACTACAGTTGAGTCCGCTTAAACTGAAATCTGTGGAATTGCCAAATTTTTCTTTGGTTCAGCCGGGTTTTTGGTTTAGGGAGGTTGCTTTATTTGAAGAAAAAAAATCGGGGATTTTTGCTTTCTTCTTGCTTTTGGATTAACTGAGTTTGGTTTAAGTTGACTCCACTATATTTACATTAGAAGTTAAGAATAGCAACTCGTTGAAAGGCCTTTGGGACTTTTAGAGTTTCAGAAGTTTTGGCCCGGGCAAAGTTCACAAGTTTTCTTTTAGTGCCATAGTTTGTTGATGCTGTGTTTCCATTTGTTTTGTTCAAGAAGAACGTAAAATTTAACAAGATGTTGCTGAAGTGTTGTATTAGCTCAAATTCAAGTTTGTTTTGATCGACCATCTTATGATAGCACCGAGTTCATTATGTGTGACAGTGAAGAGATGTAACTGATAAATTCTCCAACTTCTTCCTCTGGTGAAAAACAGAATGCACTTTGTATCTGGGATAAACGGACAAGAAAATAATTAATGTTAAGGGTGAAAAAATTTGTTTTCAACTATTTTGTTTTACGTATACATCAGCTTGGGAGCGATGGATTGAAAGGGTTTCGAACTTGATAATAGTGGTTATAAATTGCATTTGTATAGTGCATATCTCCGCTCAGCAGCAAGCTCTATGTACTTTACAATCTATGTTATTACCCCAGCAGCCCCTAAAACAATTGGAAACATGCTCGGTCTCCCAAGAAGAATACAAACTGACAAGATGGGATACAGCGCCCCCTCTCAATATGGGATACAGCGCCCCCTCTCAATTTGCTCATTTTGTGTGGCCATAATAGACAACTTGTACGAGTATACGATGTCTAATACTGAATTATCAGTGTAATTTTTATGCCTAGATGCCCATCTAAGTTGTGTTTTGGGGTGTTTTTGTGACTGTTTGAGTGACTTCTAACACTGACGAACACGACTAAGATGCTAAGCTGACAGAAATGGGCGGGTGTAAATTGTCTGTGATGTTGGTTTTTTTATATTTTGTCATACACTTTGGCTCGTGGTCTGCTGATTGATTGACTGTAACAACAACAAAAAATAATGAATTTTGAATTATTAATTTATGAATTATTAATTAGTTATTGACTTGTATTAATTCATTAATCCAGTTTGAAATAGTGGTTCTCTATGCAGATTTTGATCTTCCCTCTCTAAAAATTTCTAAAATGTCCTATGTAACACAAGTAGTCAAGTGTTTTTGTGTTTTTTTTACTAATGTGTATATATAGCTTGAAGAAACTGGAACATTGATCCAGGTCGGAGAAGGGACTCATTTTGTGGTGTTATCACTCTACTGTCATGTGTCAGCTGGTCAAGAGGACGACAGAGATGTGTGTGGCCTGACACGAGCTGTGTTTCTCGTCCCATCGTCTGTCCCATCGTCTGTCCCACTGTGTGTCCCACCATCTGTCCCACAGTGTGTTCCACCGTCTGTCCCACCGTGTGTCCTATCATCTGTCCCACCGTCTGTCTCACAGTGTGTACCATCATCTGACCCATCATCTGTCCCATTATCTGTCCCGCCATCTGTCCCATCATCTGTCCCACAGTGTGCCCCATCATCTATCCCATCATCTGTCCCTTCGTTTGTCCCATCGTCTGTCCCACAGTGTGTCCCAGGCCTCCACTATGTGGGCTGGGTTGCAAAAACCACTCGCTGATTGATCATCTTCCATGTGTGTGTTGTGTGTCGTGTTGAGCAGCCTGTTCTGTGCGTTGGTCCTTGCTGGTGAGGATAGTGTGTTTCTTAGGGGAAGAAGACTCCCAACTCTAAGGTTATCATGTGTGGATCTTAGCATTGTCTGTTATCTTTCGGGTACTGCGTTTGCTCAGTTGGTATCATGCTGGACGCTGGACTGCGGAGCAGATTGCTTATGTTTGAACCTTGAACTCGGGTCGTTTTGTGCAGGTTTCAAGGCTGTATAGGAGACGGATGTTATATCCGGAGGTTCTGCCTCTTGAGTAAGTTAATAGTGTTGTTAGGGACTTTAAACCCATACACTCGCTATATACTGTTGTTTATTATGTGTCGATTTTAGTGATGTGTGTTGTTTATCATGTGTTGATCTCGGTACCGGTACCTCGTAAGTTTACTTTTAGTTACAGCTGTTTTGCTTCACGCTTTATTTCTCAGACTACTGTATTACAAACTTCACCCTTTTTTAGTCTTGGAGATAGTCTCACTGCATTGTATCATATGAGATTAAAAGAGTTCTATCTGCATTCCAGGTACTTTTGAGATATTGGACGTCAAATTTTGTGAATTTAAAGAGCATTTGATGCAGATAGAGCCTTTTTCATGTGTATTTAACTTGGAGCAGAATAA